TCAAAATAAACTTTTCTTCCTCTAAGTTGTTCTTATCAGGTATTTTGGTCATAATGATGAAAGCTAACTAACAAAATTATATAATTATGTTATTTGCTGTTTCAGATTGCAAAGAGAAACATGTTTATTTTGGCTAGGTAATAAAGAGAACTTAGGAAAAGTACAAAACTCTCCCAGTAGCTGATTGGGCTCATCACTGATTAACAATGACATCAGGGAACTAGTGATTCCTCTAGAAATCCAGAGGAGGCTCTAGTATTCCAAGGCAAGCCTAGCCATCCCTTTGGAAATAAGCATTTGTATTAATTATCTGAGCAATTCTTCCATACCTGTGGTTGAGCCTTCTTAACGGTTGGAAAGTGCAAGAGTTACTGTGCTTTTTAAAGTCCTTTTACATAAATAAATTCATTTCCATAAATAAATGTCAAAACAGAGTTAACCAAATTGAGGTATAATTCAAATGTTTTCATTTATTAAGTTTTTTCTAACATGGATGCAATTCAATATAATGTGACCATTAGCAAGATAATTATAGGACTTATCCAAATATTTTAATTCACATGCCGTATTTAACATCTACTATAATCTATCAACAGAACACAAAGTTGTATGCTATATGATGAAGAACTATTTATTTTAATTGTGTCAGTAGATCATTGAGGTAGATACATATTTTTAAAATTTTGATTTAATGTCAAAAGTGAAAATAAAATGTCTGAGTTATGAACATGAGCTCTGGATAAATTGGCTCAGCTGTCTTAATGATGGAATATCCTCACTATTAACTCCACTACTTTGAGTCTATTCTGTCAAACTGATATTCATTCCCCCATAGGGAAGAAACTGACAGGGTCTGTCAGTTGTTACCCTGTATGTTGTACCTCCGTTGAACAAAGTTCTGTCAGCCAGCATTTGAGGGCAGTTACTGAGCATGATCAAATAGTGTGCATGTGGTGGTGGGGGATTGTGCTTTTAAAATTATCTTACTCTTGGTAGGAATTCCTTTGGCTCCCATCGATTTCACTTTTTCATTTATTTACCACTAACACTACACCTATTTAAAATGGGGTTGTTTCCAAAGATCGATCTTAAAGATCTTAGAAAAATTAATGTATTTTCTTGTAATGATTTCAGTTGAACTCAAATTCCTCCTTCTCCTCCATTAATCTTGTAATTGAAATTTTGTATTGGAGAATTGTTGATAAGGAGATGCTACAGAATGCTTCACTGAAATTGAAAAGGTATTTTTTTTTGGTATTATTTCTAGGTAATGGAATTCTATACTGTATATTTTTAATTATATAAATAGGATTTTTAAAAAACTATCAATATGTTTAGAGTAATACAGACAAATATTTAAAGAAAAATATACATTGAAGCTCTCTTAGTTGTTAGGAGTTGGAATGGCACATATCTTCTGCCAAGATTTGTTGTAAGGTTTTAAGAGTCAGGGAATACAAGGAAGAGGTAACAAAGTCTCACCAAATCATTTTCGGCCTTCCTTTCTCTCTTCCTAATCAGTTCCTATGTGTCTTTCTGGACGATTGGGGTTTGGTGGGGTTGAAGACTTTGTAAATCAGAACAAAGTGTGGAAAGCTGGGGAGGAATGGAGATAAAGGCTGGAATTTACTTTTCTCTGAGTTTAGATTTATTCAATTCTTTCACTAAGCAAATTTCTATTGAATACTGAAGGTGGGCAATCACTATGTTCTCTGCATGAGATAATGGATAGAAAGTCCCTACATAGTCTAAGGAAAATAGACATAAACAGACAATTCCAGTACATTAAGGCTTAGTGGAAGCATAACAGAATGAGCTCCTGATTTTTTTTTTTAAATTTAGGTAAATCTATTTTTCCTGAATTCTATTTTGATGACATCCCTACAGTATATTTATTGTTTATTCTTTATAGTTTAAGAGGTATATAAGTCATCTGTACTGAATTTTTATTTTCTCAAATAAGTTATATTACATAATCACTTAATTTTTTCTAAACCTGCTCTCTTTTATAAAAATAGGTATATTTTTACCAGGAACAGGGGAAAGGAAAGGTAAGGGAGAGATGGAAGTCAAAGGATACAAAGTAGTAGATATATAGGATGAAAAAGTCAAAAATCTAACATACAGCATGAGGACTATAGTTAACAATAGTGTATGGCATTCATGACTTAGTGCTAAATTAGTAGACTGTAGCTGTGCTGGCCACCGAGAAGCAAAATGAGTAACATGTAAAAGGATGCATACATAGATTTGTTCCTCTGTAGGGACTATTATATTCCCTGTATGCTTTATAACATCATGTGCATAACTTAAATATACACAATAAACTTTATTTCAAATTCAATTTTTCATTACAAAATTATATGTGTATATATAATATGAAATAAATAAATTAATATAGAAAAAATAACTTTGACTTAAGAAATGTTAACATTTTATCATAATTACTATATATCAAATTTTTGAAAATTAAATAATTTTGCTATGTACTTGATGGCTCCCAACACCCATTCCTTTTCCTCCTTGTGTATTATTTATTTCCATATTGTATAAACTAAACTACCTGTGTTTCCATATAAACAGTATATGAATACTGAACATACGTTTTTATAGCTTTTAAAACTATTCAGTATCAGGTTTTTGAGATATATCCCTGGTGATACACAAGAGCTCACTTTATTGATTTTAACTATTTGAATGCTTTCTCATTTTCATTCAGTTTATGTTTTCTCTAGTACTAGTGAGATCAAATATATCCTATGTCCTTTGGAAATACGGTGCTCATTTTATGTGAGTTAGTTGTTCATAACTTTTTCCCAATTTCTTGTTTGTATCTATGTGTTCTTATATGAACGTGAACTTTCAGTTTTGTATCATTCTCTTACTCACCTAAATTGGTGTTGATACTATATTTTTCTCTCCTAAGGCTTAGGCTGTGCCAGGTACAATGGTATGTGCCTATAATCCCAGTGGCTCTGGAGGCTGAGGCAGGAAGATGTCAAGTTCATAGCCAGCTTCAGCAACTTAGTGAGGCCCTAAATAACTCAGCTAGACTGTATCTCTTAACAAAATATTAAAAAGGGATGGGGATGTGGTTCAGTGGTAAAGCACCCTAGGTTCAATCCTTGGCATCAATATTCCATTTTTTTTTGCCTGATATCTTATTTCTTTCACTTTATATTCAGTCTTTTTTTTAAATAGAAATTACTTTTTAAAATAACTTACTTTATTTGTATTTGTTATGATGACAAATATGTTGAAATTATTTATATTCTTATGTGTAGTGATTTTTTTTACCATGCTTTTTTATTCCTCATTTGTTAGTTTTCTTATTTTCTTCCTTTGAAAGATTTATTGGAGCTTCTATACCTATTTTTTAAAATATTTTTTAGTTGTTCATGTACCTTTATTTTTCATTTATTTATATGCAGTGCTGAGGATCGAACTCAGTGCCTCATACTTGCCAGGTAAGCGCTCTGCAACTGGGCCCCAGCCCCGCCCCTCTATACCCATTTTTTATTCCTTTTTTATTTTAGAAGTTATAATTTTTAATGCATTTTTTATAGTTGTCGTTGGATACACTACCTTTATTTTATTCATTTATTTTTATGTGGTATTGAGGATTGAACCAAGGGCCTTGTACATGTTAGGCAAGTACTCTACCAGTGAGCCACAACTCCAGCGGTAGAAGTTATAATTTTAAGTCTATCATTTCAATAGTTACCCTAAAAGTTTACAAATGCATTCTTGACTTAATATGCTCTAAGTTCAATAAAAATGAAATAGTAATTTTTTTTCTCCCACACTTGAAAGGATACAATGAGACCTTAATATGCTTGGACTTTTATTGTTCATCAATTAGACATGTTATTTTCCCAAGTATTTTAGTTTTTATGTTTTTTGAATCCTGCTGTAAATTAGTCATTAATGTATTATTGTTTTGTAATTGATGTATATTTTGACTTATTGACCAATTTCTGTGTTCATCTGTGCTGCTTCTATTCCAGTCCCTTTTGTTTTTTTTAACTTTTCATTGAATTTTGTTGTTGTTGTTGTTGTTACTTTCAATACCGAGCTGTATTTTCATTGAATATTGTTTTGTTTTTGTTACTTTCAATACTGAGCTGTAAGCAGCATAATCTCTTAATCTTTATTATCTGAAAAGGTCTATTTCTCTCATTTTTGCATAAAAGTTAAACTATATAAAATTCCAATAGCTGTCATTCAGTATGAAATGTATTTTTAAGTTGTCTTGAGGTGTCTATTATTTTTGTAAGCATCTCCTGTTTGCCTAATTTTTGTTACTCTGTAATTATTTGAATATTTAGTGTTCCTTTTTGATGCAAAATTTTTATCATTATTTTTCATTGTTCTGTAGTTGAACTCTGTATGTCTCAGGTGACAGTTTGCATACATTTTCCTATTTGAAATTGTGTATAATTTAACTAGAGTACACATTAGCTTTATGTATATTTACATGCATGTATGCATATATATCAATTAAGGTTCCCATGAACAAACTCATTGTCTGTCTGAACACTGGTTCTCTAACTTCTGGAACTCTTTTTAAACTAAGTGGGAACATTTTCACAGCACTACAAGGACTCTCAGGGTCCCTCTGTATCATCCTATTTTATGGTTCCCCTCATCCTAGAGCCTCTTTAAATAGCTCTCACTCAGGCACCCTCTTCCTCATGGGGATTTGATCAGACGCTTTCCTGCTTGAGCCACCATGCTCCTGCCAGTTAGCTGCAGTTCACCTTCCAGGAGGACTTCACCCACCTCTCTTGTGGGGTCCTGTTCTCATCTTTAATGCTGCATATGCTTTCAAGCACTCTGGGAAATTGTGCTTTTATTTGTTTGAGGATCCAGTTAAGGTCAGCCCTTCTACTAGATGTCCGGCTACATGACAGCACTGTTTGTGTGTGTGTGTGTGTGTGTGTGTGTGTTTTCTTCTCTTGGCATTTAATAGACACTTGGGAAATGACAGTGCAGAAATTAAAGAGGCATGGCCTATCACATCATCAGTATTTTATCAGCTCTGAAAATTGGCTTCACTTCCCTCACAGTAGATGAGTTTCCTCTCTTTTGCCACAAATATTTAATACAATTAAAAACCTGGGGTAGATACAACTCCAAGTGAACTGGTACCCAGTGCCCATGAGCCATGACAGTTCCATTACCTCAGATTTGTTAGCTATACCTTCCCACTCCAATCTTTACATATCGAGTTTAGAATGAGCCAGTGTACCACCATTTGTGCCATCATTTATGGCTAAATTTTTTTACAGAATATGTCTTCTGGAAGAATTGTGTAAGTTTAAAAATAATGACAACTCTAAAAGTCAAACAACAAAGAAAATCCTTATGCCCACACTTGAACTGCAGAAAGGATCCTCAAGGTATTTACCTAACAAATATTTCCTGTCCCCCTAATAAGTATCAGTCACTATATCAGGTCATCAGAATATAACAGCAAAACCAATCAAGGGCCCTTCTCTCACTGAGATTAGGGGCTATGTGGGAAACATTATTTCAGTATTCACACTACTGCTCAACATGTCATTAAAATGATGTGAAAGTGTTCAATGAAACAAATAAGATCGCTTGGGGATATTGAACATATTAGCTTGACCTATAATTGCAGTTGGATTGGGAAGTCATTCATGAATGCCTCCTGAACTAAAACTCTTAATATTTGAAAGAGTTAATTTGATGTAGAAGAGAGGCCAGAGCATTTCAAGAAGAAATATTCATATGTGTAAACACCCTGTGGCAGGAAGCAGACTGGCAACGATAGTGGTCAAAAAGAAGACTGAGAGATTTGAGAACAGAAAAGAACGGAATTTATTAGGGTTGAAGATGGGAGGATTTTTAGGAGTGAGAGCAGGCGATGTGCTCGAGCCAACTCAGCACTGCCTAACAAGGGCCAATTATGTTTTCAGAAGCAAAACCATGATTGAAATTTTGCACATTATTTGGCTTTTTCTCACTTTCTGCATTGAAACAATCTTCTCCTCTAGCTTTCTATGTGCTAAGCAGGAGAGAAGTCATATTCTCTTACAAAGAAGTTACATTTTTACATCAGAATTCTCTTTGGTGGGTGTATCAGAGCCAGGAATAGAATGTGCACATAAATAGTGTATTACATTCTAGGCATTTGAAATTGTGCTATCAAGCAGTTAGCACTTTGCGGGATGTAGCTGCTCTGTAAATTTATTGACTGAAAATTTGAAGCAGCAGTGGAATTCACAGTTCAATATCAGTCAATGCTCCCATAGTAGATGATAGCTAGACCAAAAAAAAAAAGTTTCTAGCATATTCTGTTTTGAATCATTCTTCAACACAATTACCTTGTCCTTTCTACCAGGTGGTTGACCAGATTGATACCCTGACCTCTGACCTACAGCTGGAGGATGAAATGACAGACAGCTCCAAAACAGACACACTGAATAGTAGCTCCAGCGGCACCACGGCCTCCAGCATAGAGAAGATCAAAGTGCAGGCTAACGCACCGCTTATTAAACCTCCAGCGCACCCATCTGCTATCCTCACAGTCCTGAGAAAGCCAAACCCTCCACCACCTCCTCCACGGTTGACACCTGTGAAGTATGAAGACCCTCAAAGGGTGGTGCCAACTGGCAATCCTGTCAAGACCAATGGCACCCTTCTACGGAATGGAGGCTTACCAGGTGGACCCAAGAAAATTCCAAATGGAGATATCTGCTGCATACCCAATAGTAACTTGGACAAGGCTCCAGTGCCGCCTCTGATGCACAGACCTGAAAAAGACAGGTGTCCCCAGGCAGGGCCTCGGGAACGAGTACGGTTCAATGAAAAAGTGCAGTACCATGGCTATTGTCCTGACTGTGATACCCGGTATAACATAAAAAACAGGGAGATCCACTTACACAGTGAACCTATCCACCCACCAGGAAAGATTCCTCTCCAAGGCCCTCCCCTCCCTCCTCCACCCCATCTTCCTCCTTTCCCCCTAGAAAATGGGGGACTGGGAATAAGCCACAGTAACAGCTTCCCCCCTCTCAGACCTGCAACTGTGCCTCCTCCCACTGCACCAAAACCACAGAAGACCATCTTGAGGAAATCAACCACTACAACAGTGTGATGTATGCCATTTAAAAAACTTTTTGGTTTTATTTTTATTTTCTATATTATAAGCATAAAATAATAAGTAATGAGCACTTTCTACTCAAGCAATAAAAAGCCCAAATAAACTAACCCTGCATTCAACAAAGTGGCATAAAAAACACCTGGTAAGTATTCAGTGCATTGCTTATGTCCTGAGTTCACATTATTTTAAATGCACATCATCAAAAACTGCAGAACAATGAAACCTTTGAATGCATTGTTTTTGCACTTGACCTATGACAAACTGTGACCTTCAGATTTCAAATATTTTGATTTATAATGAGAGATGGGATTTCAAATATTTTGATTTATTAATAAACCCACAGTGTGATCCATTTTATTCCTGCCTAACTCATCTATGCATTAAAACATGTCACACTCTTAACTTTGATCTAATGCTTTTTAATAAGAAATTTTAATACAGAAGGACTATTTTGTTAATTTTTCTAAAGATGTTTGTCACTAGTTTTGCATTATTAAATGCTGAGGATAATACCAAAAGTTTATTTTCTATGCTATACAATTACTAATTAAATGTTCAGCTACATATGTAATAAAATATTTTGGTCTGTGGAAATGAATATCAATAAATAATAGTAAATAATGACAAAACCAAGTGTTCCTCAGAATTAAAATGAAGTATTGGTTCATTTAATCCTATGTTAATATTCATCATAGTGGGTGGCAACTCTAACAGAGTTTGGAGAAGATCTCAGTGAGTGTATGTCAGAGTTTTCTAAATTACATATAACCCATGTCGTAAACGCATCTACACATTTTCATATTGTCCACTTCCATCATGGTATTTCAGGAGCTGCCTGTTGATCTCCCTGCATGTTGCCAGGCCTTATAAACTCTTGTCACACTCAGCATTCTTCCAGGGTACACTGGAAGTCATTGCAGTTGTGGAATGTTTTGCCTCCTGCACCAGCAAGTTCTCTGCCTCCCTGAAAGAACCCACATTCCCACAGGACACTCAAAGGAAAAATATAGACGTTTCTGTTAACAGGTTGTGTTCAGCATTGGCCTGAAGCTATTTTTCTTCACAGTTGAAAGATGTCTCTTTGCTCTTCCATAGCATCTTTTGCTTCTATTGCCAAATAAAGGTCATTTTTCTTCAGTCTTATTTGACTTGCCTACCCAAGAGCCAAGTTTGATTCCCAATAGCATTGATTTGCACTGATAAGATGTTTTGTCCCAGAGGTAGAATGAGTTTATTTCCCTTAGAGTCATGGTGAAGAATAATGCCTGAAAATAAACTGGTCCAGAGTAGAGAGAATTGTTATTGGTGGAAATTTGTTCATTGTGTAAGCTGAATATTGGGTAAGCTGATCCTTTTGAATATATGACTTTTGATTTTAAATAACTTTTGCTG